TTTAATATTTAAAATAACATACATGTACATCTATGATTGTGAATATATATACATATATATGATTTCTAAGCTCAAACACCAAATACCATCACTTTTAATTAATGCACTAGAGGTGCTAGGTAACTCAATAAGTCAAAAAAATAAAAGGCATCGGTATTGGAAAAGAGACCAAAAATGTTGCTTCCCACAAATACAATTTTCTACACAGAAATTCTAAAGAACTACCACCAAATTATTATAATCAAAATTTAATACTATTGGTGCATTTAACAGTTCACTTGAAAGAAAGCCATGTCTGCAAATCACAAAGAAATTTCATAAGAAAAGGATTACAATTATCTATCTCATCCTGTTAAGAAACGTAACAAATCTATGCATATCCTTTGTAGAGTATGTACTGTGTATCAGTCATCAGGATAAATATCAGAAGTTCAAAGTAAAAGGATGATCATGGTACTCATTCCTTGTGGAACTGTGTTTAAAACAGAATTGGTTAGCAAATTAACAGTGTTGGAGTTGAGAAATCAGAATTTGCTAGAGGGAGAGTAATCCCAGTTTACTGTGTTGCTGGCATAATTATAATAGCACCTCCTTGTACCCTCAGGTATGTCCAGATTTGGAAGATAAATTATATAGTCCTCATAATTATGGGAGCACCCTATTAGTCATATGTAAGTGGGATTTATATGCTAAATATATAACCTTAATTTAGAGGTTTCAAAAAAGATATCATTTAGGAAGTGGCATAATGCCTGGCTGGACCTGAGTTACAATTCAGATTCATTCAAGAGAAATTAGAATAGAGATGTGTATCGCACAGGCGCAACAATATAACAATACTCAGACAAAGTGGAGAATATACATTGGATAATAGTGAAAAAAAAAATCTGAATAACTGAAGCCCAGAGTACAAAGACTATGCAAGAGATGAAGATGGAAGTTTTAACGGGTGAGGTTGGGTCAGTAAGGGAGAGCCAGACGGTTGATGGCCCTGCAAGCCAGGTTAAGGAGGCCCAGGAAGCCATTAAAGACACTGCACGTATTTGTGAAGGTCGTGAGCAGAAGAGCAGAAATGTGACTGTATATTGGACTGACTTCAAAATCCATGCTCTTCCTTGTATGTATGCCTGGAATTTGGGGGGAAACTAACATTTATGGAGTGTATAGAGGAAGAGAGGAGAAAGATCAGAAGGGAATGATGCCATGCAAACTGAGGGCTGAAAAGCTTTAAAAGGTAAAATGTTCAACAGCATCATGTATGCTTGCTAGTATATATACATATATATGATTGCTATATCTATATGGTTTGGATATAGCATATGGTAAATGGACATGAAATTACTATTTGTGCTAGTTAGGAGTGAAAATAAAATCAAAATTATGGATGAGTCATGCATCTCTCAATTCTTTGCATCTATAATTACTTTTCAAGTAATTTTCCATTCATCTTTCTTAAAAGTTCAAAAAAGAGATAAGCAATGAAATAATACTGTTGCTGTTTGCTTAATGAAAATTTTGTATAATTTTCATTATATAAAATTGTGTGAGAACAGTAAGCAAACAGCAACAGTATTACTCCTCATTTACCATACTCTTTCTAAAATTAGAGGTTCACAAACCTTTTTGATTTCTGCGATGTTTGTTATTTCAGGAAGATTTTTCAGAGGTACTTGATGACCATCTACCTGAATTATCAGGTGGTCTTGATTTATTTGTTTTTCTCCCTCTTCAATGTAAACAATTAGAATTGAAGTGTCATTTGGTGAGATACCAAATTTTTTCAATGCCTCTGAAATCTAAGTTAAAAAAGAACACAATAAACAAGTAGTTTCTATATCTGAAACATCTCCCCATCTGCCTTCTTCTCTGGTCAGGCTCTTATATTTCATATTCTAGTGGTCTCTCTGCCTGCAGCTTTTCCCTTCGAGAATCCCTTCCTAACACCCAGCAGCTGTGCCCAGGGGCGCTGTCTGCTCAGAGCTGCTCTTCCTGCTTATACTGTCAGGCCCAGACTTCTCGGCACCACACACAGACACCCTCCCTCTGGCACCAAGCGACCCTCTGGCCAAGCATGCCTGCTTTCTGACCATTTGAGGAACCCATCATTTCATACTTTTTTGCCTGGTCTAACATTTGTCCTCTGCCTGGAGTGCCACATCCTTCAAGGTCCAGTTCAAATGTCACTCCCCACTGTGCTCTCTTCCTTACAGAATGAATTGCTTCTTTGCTGTTCCCACAAATTGAGTTACTGTTCCCATTTTTTCAAGTGAATTTCTGTCTTCATCATCTGCCTTCCTCAGGAACATCCTTTCTGCTGCCCATAGAACTGGAACTGGGACAGGGACAAACCCAATGGTTATTTACTGAATGGCCAAGTTTCTTGAATTATTTGAAGTGATCTCAAAGAAACAATAATTACTTGGTAATTTGTACCCCAGGTAGTGGGGAATTCTATTACCATGCATTTTATAAACTTCACAGACATCTGTATTTTAAACCATGCCACAGGCTTTCTAATTTTCCTCTTGATGATATTAGTACCTTGTTGTATCATGAATAGCAGCAGTAGCACTAAAACTTTGACAGTGAAATTTCAGATTTTCTTTTAAATGTGCCACAGGTAGAATGTCTTCAGTTCAGTAACTTTGATTACTAACAGTATCTCAAACCACAAACTCTTCCTATGCATGAGGCCTGTAAGAGAGCATGTGTTACCCTGCTGACCTACCTCCTCTATGTAGCTGATGAAAAGTGGAAGCCTTTCCCACCCAACACACTTCCTCTATTATAAAAGAGCAAGCACCCAAAAAAAGTCTGTGGGAAGGAAAACTCTAGGTAGCAGACCCTCTCAGACTAATGGGTTCACATGAAAGATCTCTCAGCCATGCTGCTCTAGGCCAGCTGACAAATTTTCATGTTTTCTCTTATGCAGGAGGAACTGGCACATGTCAGTTGGCCACATGTCCCTAGGCTCTGTCTTACTCTCCTGCCCTGCCCCTCCCACCGACACTGTCATTACTTGAAGCTTCCACTTGTCCTATGGCTGCCAGTTGTGGCAAGTTCTTGAACGTGTGTTAGGGTTCTCCAGAGAAACAAAACCAACAGCATATGTATAGATACATAGGTACAGATATATAGATATGTAAGAGGAGATTTATTATGGGAGTGGATTCATGTGATAATAGAAGCTGAGAAGTCCTTTGATAGGCTGGCCACAAGCTGGAGAACCAGAAAAGCTGGGGATTCAGTCTGAGTCCAGAGGCCTGAGAACCCGAGGCCACTGGTGTGATCCCCAGAGTCAGGCCGGAGACCCTGGAGCTCCGATGCTGGGGAACAGGAGAAGATGGATGTTCCCGCTCGAAAATAGAGAATTTGCCCTTCCTACACCTTTTTTTCTTCAGGTCCTCAATTGATTGGGTGATGGATGATGCTCACTCACACTGGAGGGCAGCTCTTACTCAGTCTTCTGGAAATACTCTCATAGACAATCCCAGAAATAATGTTTTACCAGCCTTCTGGGCATGCCTTAGCCCAGTTAAGTTGACACAAAATTAACCATCACGTATAGATAGCTCTTCAGTATGAAACAGGTTTCAGTATCTTCATTCTGTACTTTCTCAAATGCAAACTATCACAATTTGATAATTTATCCAGTTTGTCAGGAGGTCCAAACCCTACAGAATCATGAATTCAGTCAGATACTTCAAGTTTGACACATGCAAGCACTTTTCCTGTTACACTCTTGAAAGGACTCCACAGTGTCACTATCTAGTTTGATATTAAACTGCCTCAAGAAATTCAGAATGTGGCAACAATTAACATCTTGAAAATTCATCTTAAGCAGTAAGCCTTCATGCTGTGACTATACTTTGATCAGAGGCTTTATATAACTAGTGTTATACAGATGACTGATGATGGAGAGAGCTTGGTCACCCTTGGAGGATGTCTCACTGTTAGTAAGAGTAATAATTTTGAAGTTTGTTTCTTCCTGCAGTAATTCAAAAATACATCCCTGGAAACATTAGCTAAAATAACAATTATCTGCCAAGTTATCCTGCCTCTTTGACTAGACCTGAAGTGAAGACCAAGGTCAAAGTTCACAGTGCCCTTGAAAGCTATCAGATTGGCAGAGATAGACCAGTAGGAAACTGGTTTCATTCCCCAGATCCCCACTGGGGCTGCAGCCAAACACAAGGCACATGTGTTCCCCTTTGAGATGTTGGTCCTTGGAAACATACATTTCCTTTGCACACTATGGTGTGAAGTCTGGAATAGTGCTTTGCAATATGCATTTTGTAAAAGGTTTATTGAGATGTAGTTTGCCTATGGTAAAATTCACCTCCCTGTGGGTTAGGGTACAGTTGTTTTGACAAATGTGTACAATCATGTCACTACCACAACTGAGATATACAGCATTTTCATCACCCCTCAACATTGCTGGCACTTGTTTTGGTCATTCTCTACCTCCTAAACCCAAACCCTGGAAAACATTGATCTAACTTCCTTAAAGTTCACCTTTTCCAAGAATGTGGTCTTTTATGTCTGGCTCTCTCATTTAACAGGATGTTTTTGAAATTCACCTTATGTTGCGCCACAGCAATTTTTAAAAACTTGATTATGGAAAATTTCAAACAACTCATAGCCGACCTTATTCCCCCATCCCACTCCCCAACCATTACGTTATTGCAAATCCCAGATTTATCTTTTCATCTATAAGCATTTATATGTATGTCTAAAAATTATAGACTTTCTTGTTTTTTTTTGTTAAGGATAATAGTGTTATCCCACTTATTTCAGCTAAAACTTTTTGGCAAGACTGCTTCACAGACAATGCGTACGTCCTCTCGCAGCGCATTAGAGGCACATAACGTCTGGGGCTCTGGGGCTTGGGTTTTGAGCGCATCACAGGAGCAGCAGCCACTCTGGTTCCGGAGCCCTTCGGAAAGATCTTAAGGGGGCGGGGCCGACTCGTCGATGCAGACGGTACGCGTGCGCAGAGATGCACACCATCTGGGCTGCCGTAGTTCGCCTTTCCACGTGGGCTCTCCGTCATGGCGGCTGTTCGGAAAACGGTGTTGCTTGGTTTTCGAGACGCGGAGGTGCCTGGTCATCCCAAGGGGCCTGGCGCCTGGGTTGCGAGCAAGCTGGGCGGCCTTCCGGTAGGTGGGGCGCCGGAGCTGGGGTCAGCGGGTGCTGGTGAGGGCGTAGGCAGGCCCCGGGATAGAGTGGGTGTCTGAACGCCTACCCTACCCTCAGGATGCTTTGCCCGCCGTAGCAGAACCGAGCCCAGTGTGTGAACGTTGTAGGCAGCCGCTTGCCCTGGTCGTGCAGGTGTACTGTCCGCTGGAAGGCTCCCCATTTCATCGGCTACTGCACGTGTTCGCCTGCCCCTACCCGCGGTGCCGCAGCGGCGGGGCGCGTAGGTAAACAGGGAATTTCTGGGGCTGTCGTGATTTTAGGCTGAGTGGGGGCCCCCGAGCGGGACTAGCCAGCATGCTGGCAGTCGCGGGTGGAGCCCTTACAGCCGTTTATCTTCATCGTGAAGCTGGAAGGTGTTCCGCTCCCAGTGCCTGCAGACGCGAGAGGAGGCGGCGCGGGACTCTCAGGTAAAGCGGTTTAACTAGCATATTATGATTTGCTGTAATTCGAGGGTATTTTCCAGAAGGTCGTTTAAGACAAACATTAAGCCGTGTTCTTTAAAGTACGTTGGAGTGGTTTTTGTTCTGAGCCATAAAATGCCGTTAACTTAAGGTTTTGTTAGTTGTTTACTTTAACATACACCGAAGGTCTCCGGACACACAGATAACCGATTTTTCTATTTGTGAAATAGTATGGTTGTATACATATACTGTTGACTCCCTGAGCTTTGCTCTCTCTGTCCATCTGCAGACCGGCCGACTCTTGCTTGGTGGTGTGTCTCTTTCCACTTCTCAGTGCGTTTTTCTTTAGCGGACCTCATTAGTAGACCCCTGATCTTATCAGGACCCTTAGCTGCTAAGGAGTCTGGGAAATGTAGTTCTTTCCTGTCCACTTCTGCAATACATGAAGCACAACTGAAAGAGTTTGGAACAGATGGTTGGAGAAACCACCATACTCTATCTGCCACACTGCCCCCCAAAAGAAAGACAATATTTGTAACCCCCAACATACTTTTGAGTAAATGGGGTCCAGGAAGTTGAATCAGAGTGTACCAGAGGGAAAGGAGCTGGTGTGAAGACTCCCTCAGGAAGGTGAAGGGATGAGTGGCTCAAGCCAAGGGAGTAGGTGAGATAACCTAAGTTGTGCTTGGACCTCATTCCCTCGATGTTCCTCCAGAAACAGGAAAATGGTCTTGCAGCTGAGGACTGGTGTGAAGGTGCAGATGACTGGGGAAGTGACAGTGAGGAGGCACCTCCACAGCTTACCTTGGATTTTGGAAATGATGCCAGCAGTGCCAAAGACAGAGACTGGACTGCCCAGCTCCAAGACCTCCACCTGCAGGATACTGTTCTGGGTGCTGCTCCTCCTGTGTCTCCTGGGAAGGGGGTGGCCTTGCCTTCTGTGGTGCCCCAGTTCCTACCCTACTATATCTCTGTCGTAGATGAGGATGATTATGGGGACTTTGTCAGTCTAGATCATGCTCATAGTCTTCTGAGGGACTATCAACAAAGAGAAGGAATTGATATGGAACAGCTGCTTTCCCAAAGGTGAGAATGTGTGCTGCTGAGGTTGGGAGGTGACTTGATCAGTAAGCTGCCACAGTAGGCACCCTTTGACTTTACCCTAGTACCTGGAGAAACTTTTTCAGACAGAACTTGTGTTGGACTCTCTGCTTCACTCCTCTTAGATGAAAAAGGGAGACAGACACAACGAGATCTAATCAGCCACCCTTGAGTTCGCTTGGAGACACTTTGCTCTATTTATAAGTGTTCTTAAGAAAATGAACAAACAAGTTAGGGATGCCAAGTATTTACAGAAGAAGACATATTCACTCTCTCCTTAATTTTCTTTTCTGTTTGTAAATGTATAGCTGACACAGGTAAGTTAGCATAATGTCATTTGTTGATTGATTTTTGGCTGTGGCTTAAGAACTGACCTGGGATCCCAGAGCCTCCCCTCTCACCTATGTAATGGGAGTGGTGTTGCTCTCTCTGTTCTCTGTGTGATCAGATGGTTTGAGAGTCAAGTGAGAAAACAGGTCTTGAAATGCTTTATAAACCAAAGCCCTCTAAAGAAGAATGTCATTTTTGCAATTACAGTAGAATTACAACAGGACATTTGGAGAAATCACCTGGTTCTTCACTGGAACTTCACTGTAAGCTTTTTCAGAATACTCTTGGAGTGCATGAAGACAGTGTTGATCCATAATGGATAAAGAAATAGAGAGAGTCAATGGGCATAATGATTTTTTAAATTACATATAATTATCCCAGAGTTGAAAATAACTAGGGAGTAGGGCTTGGGAAAAAGCAGGCAGAGGATTACTTTAATGTGTTACAAGGTACTAAGTTTATGATATTTAAGTTGTATGCATATATTACTTTAGTAAAAATTTTTTGATTATCTTCTTTACTTTTCTAAATACTGTAATTTTCTGGGTATAGATACTCTAAAGTGTTTTTTGCTTTTCTTTTTAGTCTTCCTAGTGATGTTGATGAAAAGTATGAGAAGACCATAACCAAAAGTGGAGATAAGGTATTTTACAAATTCATGAAGAGAATTGGTGTTTGTCAGGAGCAGATTTTGAGGTAAAGGCACATTTCTTGTGTTGTTTTTCTTTTTTTTTCTTTTGGTATCATTAATCTGCAATTACTTGAGTGACATGGTTGCTAGAATCCCACCATCATCAAGTCCCCACCACATAGCCCATTACAGTCACTGTCCATCAGTGTAGTAAGATGCTATAGAATCAATCACTGCTTATCTTCTCAGTGTTGTACAGCCCTCCCTGTGCCCCCCACCCCCTACATTATGCTTTTCTTGATTATAAAAGTAATATGTTAGTTTGGAAAACACAAGAAAGTACATATAATGAGAAAACCAAAACCCTCAATATTCCCCAAACCCAGAGGCTAAGATTTTAGAATCTTAGGTTCCCTTTTTTTCCCCTATGAATTTGGGTGCACGTATGTAGGTATGTGTATTTGTATATTAAAAAAAATAGTTTGGATAATAGACAATAATTTTTCTCTTTTTCAGAAAACATTGGTTTTAAGGGTTTTCCTATAATTAAAAATTTTTCGAAATTTTTTTCTGCTTTTTTGTAAAGTTAAATTATAAGTAGGTAATAGATTTTAAATAAATTTTAGGTAAACTTTTAATAGGTAATAAGGCTCAAAAATATAAAAGTATATATATGCATATGTGTATAAATACAGTGAAATAATTCCTTTCCCACATCCTTAATCTACTCAGGTAACCACGGTTGTTAGTTTTCTATGTGTGCTTACAAAGTTTCTTTATGTATGTATAAGGAAATACAAGCATATATTACTTTCCTTTTTTTTTTTACACAAAAGGAAGCATTCTAGATATATTCTGCATCCCACTTTTTTTTAACTCTTGTCTAGGAGTACTGTAGCTTTATAGTACTGTAGTCCCTTGTCTGTTTTCCTTGTTCATGGATATTCAATATTTCCAAACCTTTGGTATTACAAATTATGCTAACGAGTAGTCCTGCACCTATGTTATTTTGCATGTGTGCAAGTTTATCTGTAGGATACATTCCCTGGACTGGCATAGTCAAGCAAAAGGGTATATGCGGTTGTAATTTTCATTGATAGTCCCAAAGTGACTCCTATAGGACTTTATTTCCTACTGACAATATAAAAGTGCCTGTTTTCCCATAGCATTACCGATAGCTTGAGCTTCATGCTTGTGAATTTCTGTCAATTCAAGGTGAAAAGGGGCATCTTGGTATACTTATATTTTGCTTCACTCCTCTTAGATGAAAAAGGAACATTTTCTTCTGTGTTTTCGAAATGTTTCTGTCCATATCCTTTACCCTTTTTCCATAAGGTCTTGGTCCTTTTGATTTTTAGGAACTCTATATTAGGGAGATTAGTCCTTTATTGTGATAAATTTTCTTGATTTGTTTTTTGACTTTGCTTATGAGTGTATCATTGGGTGTTTAATTGTTCCCATCTAGTTTGTTTCAGTTTTGTATAGTTTTTGTGCTGCCTTTCACATCCCCTTCATAAATCTTAGAATTTTTATGATGTCCCCATGATCTAGTTCTAGAAGTAAAATTCAGGATCAAAGGTTTGAAGGTCAAAGGTTCTTCTTATATATCATTTGACTAGTTTTTTACTACTTAGTACAAAGTCAGATTTTACCCTTGATTCCTAATCTTATTGATGAAAATGCAATTTATTTGTTTCTCCTTTTTTAATTAGGTATAGCAAGTAGAGATCTCGTAAGACACATGCCCTCATAAAAACATACCCATATTATGATACCTTCAATAGAATTTTCAGGTTACACAAGTATTTTAAGTGCGTGCCATCTCAGTAGTGGCAGTGACACTCAGCTGGAGACTGTCCTCTGGGAAGAACTACTTCACCAGTAACACTGCCCACAGTGAGCCCCTGCTATTGAAGGGCTGAGTTAGGGTGAACTGGGGTAGAAGAGGGCCAAGTACCACTGTCTTTGGTGCTGGCCACAAAAATACCCAGTTTGGTCAGGAGGCAGACAACACAAGTACACTAAAATCCTAGGAATTGTGAGTAATAATTGTGACTCTAGAAAGAAGCAAACAGGAGGAGAATCTGTCCTTCTGATGTGGGGCATAGTGGAACTTACTGTTGACCGAAGAGCTGGGTGTGGTAAGGGAATTAGGAATTACCTCTCAGGAGCAAACTTTCTAGGCTCCATAATGAGTTAGAACAATAATAGGGAAGTCAAGGGCAATTTCCTCCCCAACCTCTTTCCCTTTGGTAACCACTGGTCAATTCTTGGCTTCTGTGAGTCTGCTGCTGTTTTGTTCCTTCCGTTTTTGCTTTGTCATACTCCACAGATGAGTGAAATCATTTGGTACTTGTCTTTCTCCACCTGGCTTATTTCACTGAGCATAACACCCTCTAGCTCCATCCATGTCATTGCAAATGGTACAATTTGTTTTCTTCTTATGGCTGAATAATATTCCATTGTGTATATGTACCACATCTTCTTTATCCGTTCATCTACTGATGGACACTTAGGTTGCTTCCATTTCATGGCTATTGTAAACACTGCTGCAGTAAACATAGGCATGCATATGTCTTTTTGAATCTGGGATCCTGTATTCTTAGGGTAAATTCCTAGAAGTAGAATTACTGGGTAAAATAGAATTTCTATTTTGAGTTTTTTGAGGAACCTCCATACTGCTTTGCACAATGGTTGAACTAATTTACATTCCCACCAGCAGTGTAGGAGGGTTCCCCTTTCTCTGCATCCTCACCAGCATCTGTTGTTGTTTGTCTTTTGGATATTGGCCATCCTAACTCGTGTGAGGTGATAACTGATTGTGGTTTTAATTTGCATTTCTCTGATGATTAGCAATGTGGAGCATCTTTTCATGTGCATGTTGGCCACCTGAATTTCTTCTTTGGAGAAGTACCTGTTCAGATCCTCTACCCATTTTTTAATTGGGTCATTTCCTTTTGATGTGTTGATGCCTCTGAGCTCTTTATATATTTTGGATGTTAACCTCTTGTCGGATATGTCGTTTGCAAATATATTCTTCCATACTGTAGGATGCCTTTTTGTTTTACTGATGCTGTCCTTTGCTGGACAAAAGCTTTTTAGCTTGATGTAGTTCCATTTGTTCATTTTTGCTTTTGTTTCCCTTCCCCAAGGTAATGTGTTCAGGGAAAAGTTGCTCATGTTTATATTCAAGAGATTTTTGCATGTGTTTTCTTCAGACAGTTTTATGGTTTCATGACATACATTCAGGTATTTGATCCATTTTGAGTTTACTTTTGTGTATGGGGTTAGACAATAATCTGGTTTCATTCTCTTACACATAGCTGTCCACTTTAGCCAGCACTGTTTATTGATGAAGCTGTCATTTCCCCATTGTATGTCCATGGCTCCTTTATCGTATATTAATTGACCAAATATGCTTTTGTTTATATCTTGGCTCTCTAGTCTGTTCCATTGGTTTGTGGGTATGTTCTTGTGCCAGTAGCAAATTGTCTTACTGTGGCTTTGTAGTAGAGCTTGAAGTCGGGAAACCTAATCCCCCCAGCTTTATTCTTCCTTCTCAGGATTGCTTTGGCTATTCTGGGTCTTTCATGGTTCCATATGAATTATAGAACTATGTGCTCTAGTTCATAGAAGAATGCTGTTGGTATTTTGATAGGTATTCCATTGAATCTGTAGAGTGCTTTAGTCAGAATGTATTAATTCTCCTATCCATGAGCAGGAGATTGTTTCGATTTATTGGTATCTTCTTTAATTTCTCTCATGAGTGTCTTGTAGTTTTCAGGATGTAAGTCTTTCACTCCCTTGGTTAGGTTTATTCCTAGGTATTTTATTCTTTTTGATGATTTTTTTTATTCCCTATCTTAAAGGAAAAGCTTTCAGCTTCTTGCTGTCAAGTGTGATGTTGGCTATAGGTTTCTCATATATGCCCTTTATTATGTTGAGGTACCTGCCCTCTATACCCATTTTGTGGAGAGTTTTTATCATGAATTGGATGTTGAATTTTGTCAAGTGCTTTTTCAGCATCTGTGGAGATGATGTGTAGTTTTTGTCCTTTTTGTTGATGTGGTGGATGATGTTGATGGATTTTTGAATATTGTACCATCTTGCTTCCCTGGAATAAATCCTACTTAATCATGATGGATGATCTTTTTGATATATTTTTGAATTCAGTTTGTTAATAATTTGTTGAGTATTTTTGCATCTATGTTCATAGGGATATTGGTCTGTAATTTTGTGTGTGTGGTGTCTGCCTGATTTTGGTACTAGAGTGATGCCTCAAAATGAGTTTGGAAGTATTCCTTCTCCTTTTTGGAAAACTTTAAGGAGGATGGGTATTAGGTCTTCACTAAATGTTTGATCAAAGGGGTTTTGTTCTTAGGTAGTTTTTTTAATTACCAGTTCAATTTCTTTGGTGTAATTGGTCTGTTCAGATTTTCTGTTTCTTCCTGGGTCAGCCTTTGAAGGGTGTATTTTTCTAAGTTCTCCATTTCTTCTAGATTATCCAGTTTGTCAGCATGTAATTTTTCATAGTATTCTCTAATAAGTCTTTGTATTCTGTGGTGTCCATAGTGATTTTACTTTCTCGTGTTTATTTTTGAAGACTCTTTTTCCTTGATAAGTCTGCCTAGGGGTTCATCTATTTTTTTTTAATTCATTTTAATATCATTAATCTACAATTACATGAGGAACATTATGGTTACTAGACTCCCACCTTCACCAAGTCCCCCCCCACAAACCCCATTACAGTCACTGTCCATCAGCATAGTAAGATGCTGTAGACTCACTACTTGTCTTCTCTGTGTTGCACATCCCTCCCTATACCCCACCCCCCACATTATACATGCTAATCATAAGGCCCCCTTTCTTTTTCCCTGCTCTTATCCCTCCCTTCCCACCCCTCCTGCCCAGTCCCTTTCCCTTTGACCACTGAATTTCTTCTTTGGAGAACTGTCTGTTCAGCTCCTCTGCCCATTTTTTAATTGGATTATTTGCTTTTTGTTTGTTGAGGTGCGTGAGCTCTTTATATATTTTGGATATCAACCCCTTTATCGGATCTGTCATT